AGAGAAAAGGCCTGGCTAGCAGCTCAAATAGCATTAAGAGAATCCCAGAATTTTAAATTGCTGTTTTTATTTTATTTTTTTGTATCCCCCTCCCTTTTTTATTGTGAGCTGCCCTGAGTCTCTCGGGAATAGGGCAGCATACAAACTTAATCAAATCAAATCAAATCTTCCGACTCTGGGATTCTCTTAATGCTATTTGAGCTGCTAGCCAGGCCTTTTCTCTTCCTGCAGCCGCCAGATAACTGATCATCCTTTCCTTCCTACGCAGCTTCCAATGTTCTGTACCCCGATTTAAAGCAACCCAAGTTCTTGCTTTCTCCTTGCAAGGGCTAAGGAAATATGCAGGGTTTTTTTATTAAGTTGAACATGCCTGGGAGGGCAGCTTGGGAGGAAAACCACGCGGGGATGTGCATGTGTGAAGCAGATGGCTGCGACTTGCAGCCAAGTTCTGTGATGCCGAGGTGTGAGATCGTAGGATGCATTGGGAAGATTTCTGCCGAGGGCAAGAAGCTCTCCTTTACCTTCAGCAAACCTCTGGATCTTTGCCAGTAGATCTAGCGGGACGACGATCCCGAAGCACAATTAGACGCTCTCCTCTTCTTTGGTGATGCTGTAATCCGTGAGCAACGTGACGCTGATTTCCGAGCCCGTAACCGACATGGCTCTGCTCGGGGTGTGGGTCTGTGTGAGGCTGGCCCTTCTGACGGGCATCTTGGCTTTGCAACACGAGATTTCCTTCTTGAAATGTTGGCGGAAGCTTTTGCTCAGCCAGTAGAGAGCGAAGGGGTTGACGCAGGAATTGCTGAAGGCCAACGCCCGGGAGAAGATGGTGGCCACCAGATGGAAAGCGGACGTGTCTATGGAAGTGTGGTAGGTGAATGAACGGTACAGGTAGAGGATGTGGTTGGGTAGCCAGCAGAAGGCGAACAAGCCGACTAAAACCAGCACGGTTTTGGCCACTCGCTTCCGGGATTCAATCTAAGGGGGAAAATATGTGCAAATTTATTGTTCCTGGTTTCTACATAGGCCTCTTTAACTCAACCAACATCAACATGTCAACAAGAGATAAACACTGCTAGACATTCTTTGGCTAATTGATGACTCCAAAGAAAGGATCTATCTATCTATCTATCTATCTATCTATCTATCTATCTATCTATCTATCTATCTATCTATCTA